GAACAGGATTCGGGGAGGATCTGGGGTTCTCTGCGTGGCTCCTCTCTCAAATGTGTGCTTGGGCTCCATCTCGAGCTGGCCACTTTGTTGACCTCTCAGTAGACTTACTTGTGGTCGAAGTATCCAAAGAGATGTGGCCTGCAGGTTTGTGTCCCAGCAGGTGTGCCCAGTGCCGGGGAACAGATGGGCCACAGGCACAGACACCATGGCACCTCGTGGAAGTGACATAAGGTAAAGAAGCAGGAAACGGGACAGGCACAGGCCTCCAAGAGTGGCGGCCACCCAAACCCAGAGGCCAACCTCCTTCCTGGGGGAGGCTGCTCAGCCACGCAAGGAACAAACGGCGAAGCAGCAGCGTCTCTAAGACAAGGGCAAGGAGCTGAGAAAAAAGGGATCGGGCAAGATGTTTGTTGCCAGGTGAAGGTGGCTGGCTAAGACTGAGAAATGGCGGGCGTCGGGGTGACAAACACATTTCACCCTAGAAGTTCACTGGGATGTGATGACAGGGGTGCCTGGAGCTCAGGGTCAAGCAGGAACAGGAGTCTGAGCCACAGGTTGGAAACAGAAAGGCCATGCGTGGTCGGTGGGTGATGCTGTCCTCAGGCTCTAGGAGGGCGTGGCTGCACAAGTGGGTATAGATTCATCATCGTTGACTTATATCTTCTCGGGGACTTGGCCAGAGTGTTGATTTGATGTTAGCAGGGGGCTCAGCCAAGTCCTGAACCCAGATACCATGTTCAGCGCTATTCTCCTCAAAATCAGGAGGAGCAAGGTGACCTCGATGACAGGAGAAAGATCTCAGGCTCAGTATTTCTTAACCAGGGACTCACTGTCCACCCCACCCTCCCACGCCCCCATCACTGTGGCCACGTCCTCTCAATGACTGGGGTTATTTTGAGTCTGGAAAGAGGTCTGCCTTGCCTAGTTTGATGACTTCCAAGCTTCTGAAAGACCAGAGATTTTCAAGGTTTTATGCCATGTCACTCATTTGTTGGAAGGGAAGTAAATTCCCTACAGAGTCAAGTTCAAGAGGGCCCAGGGCAGAGAACACCAGGCACCTGTCAAGCTGGCTCTCAGGTCTCAGTAGCTTCCCCCTTGCTCCCTACCCTCCCACCACACCGCACTTCTCTGTGCTCCCAGAGCAAGCTGGCTTTCTCCATGTGCCAGGTCCTTCCACCCATCCCTGGAGGGGGAACGCGGACTCCTTCCTGGCTTACCTGGAACCTCCCCCAGCTGTCCTGCGGCTCTGACCTTTCTCGGGATGTCACTGCTCCCCCCGCCTCCGAAGAATTCGCACTTATGTCTTTCCAGCAAAGTCCTATTTTATAAATATTTGCAAGGGTTCTCTCCCTCGTATTTTCTTGTTTGCTTTAACCCTGGCATTGCATTTGCAACGGAGTATATACTCTATGCTAGTACTGTATACACGTGTATTGTGAATGAATGGATAGTTGGATGGATGGCTGGATGAGTGGGAAAAAGAAGGAAGGGAGGGAGGGAGGATGGGCATAGGAAAATGCTCTTCTCAGAATGAGGCTTCCAAGAGGGACTAAATTTGTGTTTAGAGCTTCAAGGGAAATAATTCGTATCTGATGACACCGAGCCAGTCATACGTGCCCAGCTGAGGGGAGCCTGCCTCCCTAACCTGCGGTTAAAGGACTGCCAGTGGACTGTTGAGTAGATCTTCTGTTGACTGTAACAGTCAACCCAGGTAAGGAAACTCCCTCTGCAGAGTTCTGCTGGCTCAGTTCAACAAACAAAACGGACAGAACACAGCTATTTCTATCTTCAGTAGGACTAGTTAATGCCATTAGAAATTAAGATAAAAAGACAAAATCCTGTCTTTATGGACTAATAACTGAAACCTGCTTCCCAAGACCACCCACGGTTGCAGAGAAAATGGTTTTTAAAATTCAAGTCTTCTGGAGAGGCTAATTTGAAAGCAGCCATAAATCACACTAATTCCAATGCCACTGCTGGTTTTTGGACAGACGGGACTCTGATCTGCTTGATCTCTACAGGAGAAACCCTGTGACCTTCCTCTGGCAGAAATGTGACCTCACCGCCATTACTGCGCGCTGCTGACTTGATTCTAATTACGTGACTAGAATCACATACCGGGTCATACTGAAATTTCTTAGACATTATAGAAGGTTTTGGAAATTCTCAGGCTGTTGGCTTAGTTTCGAGATGACTGAATGATAAATTTAAGCTGCAGGTACATAGCTCGTTGGGTGTCAAATACTTTTTAAGAAAATCAGACAGTACCTCCTCAGGTTAAAAGGAGACAAATAGACAAATAGAGAATGACAAGTAACCAACTGCAAAGAGACTTTCAGAATAGTGGTAATAATGAAAATAAGTTGTTTATGTGATTATAGGGTACTTTAGCTCTCCTGTTAGAACCTTGCAAGCTCTGAGTTACTTTTTCAGAGAGAGGATGGTACCCACAAGCCCAGCCAGACTGCACACACATGGGACAATTATACTTGAGCCAAGGAGCTGGGGTGTGAGTGGTGTGGAAGGAGGAAAGAATCTAATGTTCTCCCTTCAGGGAATTCATAGTGTCATTTAACACAGCAGACTGACTGAGAGAATACGGTGCACTTTAAAATAGCTCAGTTTTTTTCCAGGAATTTTAAAGTCCTCTCTCAAAATCTAATAATAGCTTTAAAAGCTTTACTGGAGGGAAGGAAGGTCAAAAGGTGGGAAGGAAAGAAGAAACTCTTCCAGGGACCCGTGTTGCTCTGTGGGAGTCAGTCCACTCCTCTGAGAACACCCTACTGACCTCTGGAAAGAATGAACATCAAACCTCCCCACCTTTCGTTCTTTCCCTCTTTACGTCATAAAATGAAGGAGGAAAAAGAAGAGACGATAATAAAATCTTGATGCCAACGCTTCTCAAAGAACTCAGAGCATTCTTCAGTAGCTTGACAGGCCTGAGAAATAGAACCAGCTCACAGCAAAGGATTTCAAATTCCCCTCGTGACGTTTGAAGGGCCGGAAGGGTTCAACCGGAAGGACCAGAACTTAACAAGGTCCCCACCTGGAGAGCCAGGGAGGAAGACAAGTCAGTATTCCCATCACCAATCATTTCTGTACTGGACATGTCAATACGAATACCAGATAACAATTTTATTCACATATAAAAAAGGGTATTACAAAACTATTTGTATAAGAAAAAGAAAATTTACAAATTTATAAATTCCAGTATGCAAAATAGTAACGATGAACTCTGAATCGATTCGAGCTGGCGACCTGCAAGCAAGGAGGGACTCTTGTCCTTTTCTTCTAATTTTTTTTTTTTTTTAAACTAGCCCGGACAATAGAGCTTAACTAGGTAATAGCAATATTAACATGTTATCTAAAGTAGAAAAATCTATATTTGAAAAATATATTCCATATACACAAAATGAGAAAACCCATGCCTTTCCATGGTCATTCCCCAAATCCTTGTCTCATTCTTGTTGGTGGGTTTCTGCAACTTCCGAAGTCACACCGATTCTCACTCCTAGGCCCGACGATGATTTCCTGGTCCCGGAAAGTTCGTGTAAGCGTTGTACTCAACCATGGGAAATGCAGATTGGGCTTTCCCTCTCAAGGGTTTATACAGAGTACAGAATCTAACATTATTGTATGTTTCTGCAGCAGGCAGTGGTACAACGTCTTCATCTTGATAAAACAGCCCGGGATTTTTCCAGTGCTCTATCAGATGAAATCAACTTTCAACCCTAAGCATTTCCTTACTGATCCAAAGTGATGTTTTAGGGTTTGGGGCCAGTCTCATGCCCATCCATCTAGCTTTCTCCGGCAATTATTTGTCTTTGAAGTCGAAGAGAGTTTCTACATGTGGAAAATATATTTAGGCCACCAGAAGGAGCACAACCCTGGCTGACTTTGATCATCCCTCTGTCAAAACAAAACGATCAGATTGCAAACAATGGCATATACATATGTGAATTACAGTGAAGCCACTCAAGGCAACTCTAGTGTGCGTTTTCATAGACATCTTGTGGTCAAATCCCAAATATTTTCCTAAAGGCGGCTCTCATAAGAGCTGGCAAGTTATCCAAGTTGAAAAACCATTGGTTAATGCTAAGAAAGGAAAAGAAAAGAGGGCATGAGATGGACACAAAAGATTGTGGGTCACCCTGAGACTACTCTAATTGCTTATTTTGGTTCAGGGAACTGAGGTCCTGAGGAGAACTGAGCCCAGCAAGCTAATCCACACATGTCAGAGCCTAAGACTGCCTATAGGGGAGAGAAACCGGTCCCGCCATGAGGAAGGGACTCATTAGATTTGCCTCATGTCTTACAGAGAGAGAAAAGCATAGTCTAATAAGTGAGAAGAGAAAAATGGCCCAAGAAAGACAGAATTTTTCCAAGTTCAGTTTAATGTTAAGTAAAAGGCACTGATCTGGGTGGCAGTGAGTGGAGGGATTGTGAAACCAAGTTTTTTAGTGACACCAACAAGGTCATGTTTGATTTCTTTTTTAAGTGCAAATGTGACAGAGCTAATAGTAATCGGTTGAAAGACAAAGGCCAGAGCTGATCATGGAGGTTCAAGGAGGAAAAAGGTAAATCCTACTCTGGTTATTCCTCTCCAGGACACCAAGATTAAGAACAAATGAGCCATCCCCGTGTTCGTGACTGAACTGGGTTTGTGTCTGTCTTAGCTGTAGAGAAAGTTCTAGTGCGTAAACACTAGGGATGGGACACCTGACACCACGCTTAAATCCAGCATCACTGGCTAGGGTAGGAGAGACCTGTGCTAAGGAAGTGGGCACCATGGGAGTGCCACTTGGTCAGACCCCGTGAAGGCAGTGAGGAGCTGTTCACCTATAGGCCACTTACCAATTGGGCGTTTTCTTCTCCTTCTAGTATGTAGTGTCTCCTAGGGATGACTCATGTGTTGCATTTCAGTAGGAGGGGAACCAGACAGGTGGTACTTTCTAAAGCCTTTAGTATAAGATACAGTGCATGAAAGCAAAAACAAAAACAAACTCACAGGTAGAGAGAACAGGGGGGTGGTCTTCAGAGGCAGGAGGTGAGGGGGAGGTGGATGAAAAGAAAGCATTATCTTTATAAATCATCACTCTTCTCTAAGAGAGGAATTCTGGATCTTCTAAGCTCAGTCACAGGGACAGAAGTAGCAAATGCTCCCATGTCAACTGATTTTCACAGAAATATGTTAAGCATTGTATACAAGTCTCTAGGATATGTGTGCTAAGTGGTTTTTAATGCAGTGTGGTGGGGTGGGGGGCTCTTTCACCATCACTCCCCCAGCTCAGGCCCCTCTCCCTACTAGCTTCAGCAGGGGTTCACGAGTCAGTGACTAAGGTTACAAGTGTTGATTCTGGAAAAGACTTGCTATCCTCTTACTCCTAGTTCCTAGATATTAACTTCATCTAACAAAGCCCTGACTGAGGCAGTCAGCATGAAGTCAATTCTAATTGCCTGAGCTAATCAGATGATGAAAAAGTGAGCCTCACCAAACACAAACACTCATTTTTGAACCACTCTACAGAAAAACTAAAGTAACTGCTTGGACACTGACTTTTAGTAAGCTAATCGGCTATACGAAATTATTTCTGGAAAGAAAGTGTAAATGAAAACTTATACTCTGGATCTTCAGTTTGGTAAAACCACATTCGCCATGAAAATAAGCATGAGTGCATTTCTGTTTCTTGTTATATGCTCATAATCTCGTAGGCTGCAAACTTGAGCCATCAGCCTTTGAAGTTACGCTTTGTGGCATAGAAGCTTCTTGTTTAGGAAAAATGCAGAGTATCGTGAGTGTCTGGAGTCTTTTCTTGTTATTCCTTGAGGTTTCAGCTTACAGCTGGTCTGGCTCAGAAGCAACTGGTTGAAAGGCTTAAAATGCCATCAGTTTGGTTCAGATTTATTTTTTTCCCCCAGAAGCCATGCAGGGTCCAGACTGGGCTCAGTCCGTAAGCCTAAGCAGAGGGGTGAGTGCACACTGGGTTCCATCCATATTCTTCTACTGTAGAAAGAAGCAAGTCCTTTAAGCTTCCTAAAACAGCAACAGAAAGGAAAGCTTGAAAAACAAGACCTTACACACGAAAGCTGCTGGGCTATCATTGTTAAAAATTATTGTAAATAACTTTTACTAGTAGCACACATGACTTGAATAACATATGGACCAGCAGCTCCTTAATGACATTTGAATATCCAGGTATGTACGTACTCCGAAAATAAAATAAAGATTTTATAACTACTCACTATCACTCAGTATTTGCAAATGACACTGCAGAGACAATAATGTGTGACCCACAGGAAAAAAAATGTATTAACGAATGATTCTTTTGCTCATTTTTGACCCCATTCAAACACTTAAAGCTTGTTTCTATGTTGTACTCTTTTGAAGCATTTGTAGGTAAAGCTGTTAGGATCCTTTTGGTCTCTTCTTTGAAAGGACAAAGATGATTAGTGAATAGTGACACTCTCATTCTTTGTATTTAAAACTTTTGCTAGCCCACTGGAGAAAGTTTAGAGATGGTTTAGAAATGATTTCCCTTCTAATGATTTTCCTGGAAGGCTCACACTCTCCCTAGGGCAAATATCCTTGGCCAAGTGGTGTCCTTCAATCTGTCCCTTATCACAGAAGGGCAGCGACCTGACTTCTGAAAACATCAGCCAAAGGCACATTACTGTGAGTGACTAAAACCTTCATTTTAAGCAGTAATCTTTCATTCACTTATTTACCACTAATCTGACATCAGTGACATATCTGGTAAGTTTACAGGAAAAGATTTTTTTCCCTAGGTAGAAGAAGAGAGTCTAGAAATAGAAGCTTCTGAAAGAACTCTCAATAATCTAAAATAGTTTCATCAAATATGTTGATCAGTTGGTATGACCATAATTACCACATTAACACTACTGTGGGAGAAAAATGGTACTCATTTTGCCAACATGGAAAGAAACAAAGATTTTAAAAGACTGAGCAACTAGACCCCAGGTCATCTCATATCTTTCCTACCATTCTTTCTGTTATTTCATGTATGTAGAATTTGTAGAAATTACATTTCCAATGATGGTTAAAAACATCACCAAAAAAACCCTTTTCTGTAAGTAAACAGACTGGTCTCATTCTCCCAAGTACCTTAGTGAATGATGTCCCAAATATCTTAGTTCTCTTGCTTTCTGGGGAGGTGTGTATAGGGGAAATTTGATTAGAACTGAGTCATTCAGACTAAACAAGGTTCTCACACCTCTTTTATCCTGCACCATAACTATCATCATCAGATTCTGGGTGGTCTTAAACAGCCCACAAGAAAACTACAGTGTAAAAATACGGTTTCTGGAAACAAACGCCTCGTGCATTAGCAATGTGACCCTGTAAGACAAAAGTGCCATTGTGCATTTTGCAATATAGATGTGTATCAGATCATCACACTGCACACCTTAGCTCACACAATGGCAAATGTCGATTGTTATCTCAATAAAGCTGGATAGAAGGTGGGAATTAAGGTTAAAAAACTGAAAATATGAGTGAATGCCTAGGTAGGATTTTCAAGTTCCTTTGAAAATAAATAGAAATAAATCACTAAAGGTGGGGGGGGCACTATAATGGCTCAAGCTGCCCTTATGCATTTCTCAAACAGAAGTGTTGTGCTTTCCTGAATTATGAATGAACACACAGCCCAAGCTAAGTGAACACAAACTCAAGGAGCCAAAAGTCCTTTGGTTCATAATACCAAGCTGCTGAAAGCAAATTATTTGTGAGAAGTAAGTATGTTTCCTACATTGGAGAAGCAACCTGTTAAGAGGAAGTCTGAATTGCCTTTTGGAATCCAACTTTTTTTTTTTTTAAATAGAACTGTTGAGCTACCTACTTGGCCAACCCTTGAAACAAAGAAGAGAATCAATCTCCCAAAGATGTACAATTGTATCTCTCCTACTTGCTTTCAAAGATTAAGGTTCCCTCACTAAATATCACACACTCAGTAAAGGCAACCAAAGACACAGTGCTTTTCAGAACCTGGATAAGATTATCTCAAAATAGGCTCATGATATTATTTGTTGTTTTTAACTATAGGGGGAAACTGAAATGATTCATTTTTTAAAATATTCCTTTCCTGAATTCAGAATGCCTCATTTATATTTACCAAATTATCTAATAATTATAAGACAACACATCTTAGAAAGTTATTAAGACTTTCACTAATACATTACATTGTATAACTTGAATATAACATTTTCTCATTCATTTTACATGTAATTATAACTTTCTTTTCATAATAACCTGAGTTGAAAGTATCTTTATGTAGATCATGATTACCTTGACAACTGTCTTTGACAAGAAGTTAATGCTGTTATATATAGCAATCTTCTACACTAAATGATTTTACATTTCATACAGCTGTAATAATAATGCTTCCTCCCATGCCCACCTCACCAACAACACAAACAGAAAAAGGTAGAGAATGAGTTGGTTCTGATATGACTTGGCATTGAGATGTTTCACTCCTTAGTCGTAGAATTTACATCACGAACCTGGGGACAAGCTACACAATTAAGATGAGGGGTAATTCTACTTGCTGACGGTACTCTGCAAAGCTGTAGGTAGTCACTGGGAACACAATTCCAGCTACTCTAACAACATTTGTGTAGGTAGGGCAAGTTTCTGATCAAAACCAATTGACTTGGTATCAAAGAAACTTCTGCATCTTGTAATGAAACAGTGTCTCAGATGAATTTTAAGAGTCTCCCAAGAATTGTGTTTTAGAGTACTTGGCAAGGCATCTGACTGGGAAGTTGGGGTCAGCTGCTGAAGGGGCAGGATTTCTGCATCCTGTTCTCTGCCTCTTTCACTGTTCTCAGGGCCTGTTACCTCCTCCTCCAGGCAGCTGCACGTGGCACTCGGCCCTCGAGGCTTGTGGGCCATGGTATGTTCTTGACAACTACACACAACTCAGCTAACTCTTATCTTTTCTTAGTCTTATCATGGAAGTTATAAAAATTACGTGATGGCTCAAAAGAACAAGGTCAGTAAAGACTCACTCTCCACTAGAGAGGTATGTATTTTAATTGTATTTTATTAAAGATTTTATTTATTTATTTGGGGGAAAGGGAGAGAGAGAGAAAACAAGCATGAGTGGGGGGACAGGCAGAAGCAGAGGGAGGAGCAAACTCCCTGCTGAGCAGGGAACCTGACTTGACTTGGGGCTGGATTCCAGGACCCTGAGATCATGATCTGAGCCGAAGGTAGACGCTTTACCGAATAAGCCACCCAGGCACCCCTGTGTTTTACATTTCAAATGCCTTAGTTGTTTGCTTTTCTTCCCTTATATCTTCTTCATTTCTTTTATTTTGAGAAAAACGAAATTATTTTTCTCCAAAGCCAACAAATGCTTTCTGCATAGCATTCCCTGTAAATTTTCTAAATTTTGCAGTTCGGAGAAAAAGTATCGCAGATTTCGATCAACCTATAACCTACGTGCTATTCTTGAAAGGCACACTTCTCCATTCATACCTCGACTTCAGACTGCATCTGACATCATAAGACCAGGATACAGGACCTCATGGGAAATCGAGGCCCCTCTCGAGAGCAGACACAGCACGGGCAGAGCGCCTCCCCAGGACCTGGGGCTCCTGAGCTGGTTTGCTCACGAGCAGTGAGAGCAAGGGTGGGTGTGCAGGTAGGACCTTGTGGCACCTGGGAGCCTCACTCTTGCTGTGACTCGGCCCTTTTATACTAAAGGCTGGTCATTTTTCCCCCAAAGAATGTATTCCAACAGTATATGTTCTTATATTAGGGAGATGCTTGTAGACATTAGGTCAAATTCAGGACCAGCCACATCCTCACAGGAAGGGGATAGCAGGGTTGGTGCCCAGGCTTCCCTGATGCTTCTCTGCCTCTAGCCTTGTAGCATGCTTGAAAGCCCCTGCTCCCTGTAGCCACCATCTCCTTGCAAACCTGAATTTAAACCCTTCTTTCTAGAAGGTACTTCTGCAGTATGTGGACCTGGATCACAACCAACAATCAATTTCTAACAACACTGGTCAGTTTTGAAAACAACAGGAACAGAGAGGGGAAAAGAGAAGCTTCAGGAGATCTAAACTGCCATTAGCTTGATGGTGAATGAAGTGCATGTAAGTCTCGGGCAGAAACCATCATTGGGTGGAAAACGAAGGTGAGGAACTGTTTACAAGATGTTCTTGTGACTCTCTCTCTCGATCAGGAACGGGGCTAGGGGGTGCTACGCTAATACTTGGATTTATAAGGAGTAAAAGAAAGCAGCTGCTCATTATAAACTTACAGAGTACCTGGTAGTTACAGGGGAAAAAAAAGACTCTTGAAATTTAATTTACAATATATTCTCCATTCATATAAGAATAAGAAGTTATGAACGATGGAAAAAACCTTCTCATCAGATCCTCCCATATTCTCTGGTGAGAGGAGTTCCATTCCCCATGAGTCAGTGCTGGGTCCTTCTTGAGTGTAGTCACTGACTTACCTGGAGGGACGTCGGCGTGGTCAGGCTGACAATGTCACCACTCTCCTGACACAACTGGCTTCTGGCGGTCAGTGTATCCTGAGTTAGCACTGGTTCCGTCAGTGAGTGGTTACGTCTAGAGGGACCCGTAGCTTCTGTACAGTTTTCAGAATGAACTGGAACAGCTCCACCAACCAAATCCTGACTACTGTTGGAATCCAAGGAGGAAGAGCTTTCGTTTTCTGGATTGAGAGAATGAGTATCTTCTCCAGTGAGTTCAGGATAAGAATCACAAAGAGAGATGTCGTCGCCACACACGGGATTTTGCATCAGAGGCCAGGCGTCTGAAAACTCGCCACAGATGGACCTTGAAAGGGACCCGAAGAATATGGGCGTGGTCTCCCCCACTGGACCTGGGTGTCTGAACACACAATCAAAAGACTCTCAAGTCATCTACGGGGAGGAAAAACACCACTACAAAGCCACACCCAGCTCTGCTTTTAAATTTTCGAGATGAAACAGCAATGGATTACATCTGAATTCTAGTGCTTCCTTTGTTATAAACTTCCTTCCATACGGTATGTTTAATTATTCTGCTTACTTTCAAACTGAATTTTGTACCTGCTTCTAACCAGTGTAGTTATACTTAACTCAATGTCTAAAACAGGCAGTTTCCTGGGTCTTAACTGAGTTTCTTCATAGCGCTTCTAAAATTCTGTGAGTAAATGACATGTTACAAATTATTTACAGGTGACAGAAGTGTCACAAATCATGAATATGAAGTAAAACCAAAATTAATGGAGTGTAAAGTGTAAAGAATGTCTCACTGGGCATCAGTAACCCCGAGAGACTCACGTGTCTCTTGTCAAGGATTTGTCCCCCTCCGATGTCCAGAATGCCATCAATAATATTTTTCAAATGACGTCTCATAGTTTGACATGAAAATTGTTAAGTTGGTAGAAGGCACATTTGGACAAGGGGATGTGATGTTATATGGACTAAAAATCCCGAGTTACCTCTCCTGAAGAGTGTCCTTGGAATGCACCCTACAGCCAAGAGTCACCCGGTCCACGCTGCCAGCCTCGTCACAGCACAGAGACGGAATCAAGTGAACAGGCCCTAGGGAAGCCAGCAGAGGTGTGAAGCACAAGGCTGTCTTCTGGGAACTTTCTCGTTAATACTGGCTCAACATTGCTGGAGGAAATCCAGCTAGTCCCCTTTGGGTGACTTTTTGGGGGAAAGGAAATCTGAGGTTTAATTCTCTCTCTCTTTTGTTATATTATGAAAATAATAAAGGGCCTATACGAAGTACCTAGAGTAGTCAAAGCTGTAAAGACTGAAAGAACTGTGGGTGCCAGGGCTGGGGAAAGTGGGATGTGGGGGGCGGCATCGCAGATTGCTGGGGACAGAGTTTCAGTTGGGGAGCTGAAGGGCTCTGCAGATGGGGGTCCGTGACGGCCGCGCACCGGTGTAAATGGGCTCAGGGCCGCTGAACAGCACCCTTAAACAGCGTTAAGATGACAAATTTTATGTTATGTGTATTTTACCACAGTAAAAATAATGAGAGGTGACAGCACGGCCTGTGAGAGAGTGTGTCAAATGAGACTCCCTGAACTGCTGAGGAGACGGCAGAAAGCGGAGCAGAGTCCTGCCGAGTGGGCTAGTGGTACAGAACACGAACAGAGACGCGTTCAAACCCTTGAACACAACACACGCACATACACGTGCGTGCGCGCACACACACCACACACAGGTATTAATGTTTTCCTGCTAGTAATGGAACATAAGGAATAATTAGAGGTGTGCACACAGCACAGCTTTGCAAACCATTTTGTTCACTGAGGCAGCATCGATTTTTGGTTACAAAAATAATATAAGTGTACAGAAGAAAAAAAATTAAAGGAGAGGGATTAAGTTAAGAAATTCAAAATTAAATATGACCCAACCCTATAAACTGGAAATGAACACAAATGTCGACGTTTGGTGAGCTCTTTATATACATACATATATAATTCTGATTATACACAAACACATACTAAAGCACGCAACGATAAAGACACACATCTGGAGAGAGATGTGAAAAAATTCTCTATTTACATATCCATGTATATGTTTGTGGATCTAAAGTTTGCATGTGAAATGATTTCACTCTTATAAAAAGGAAAAACATAGTGAAATTATTGGCCTTTTCAAAAATGAATGTTAAACATCGACATGCAATTGCCAGCAGGATGGATACTCACACACCTTTGCCTAAATGTCTCTCAGCTCAGGCCCCACGTTGTGTTGCGTAAATATATGCTATTGTGAGCTTGGAGACCTCGTCTGGACACACGGCCGATCCTCAGCAAGCCCGTGTCATGCTCACGTGAGCCGTTTCAAAATTAGTTAAAAGCCAGGGGCACCTGGGTGGCTCAGTTGTTAAGCATCTGCCTTCGGCTCAGGTCACGATCCCAGGGTCCTGGGATCGAGCCTCACATCAGGATCCCTGCTCGGCGGGAGGCCTGCTCCTCCTTCTCCCACTTCCCCTGCTTGTATTCCCTCTCTTGCTGACTCTCTCCCTCTATCAAATAAATAAATAAATTCTTCAAAAAAAATTATTTAAAAGCCAAAGACACTGTCTTTCTTTTTAGAAATGGCTGTTTCTAGGGCTCAAGCAACCAAGAGCAAGATGAGCCTACAAGTTTTTTGTGTGCCTAAGATGAAGAAAGTGCTAAAAGAATAATCAGGACATGTCAAAATGACACATGAGCCAGGCTGAAGGGATCTGCCCTGGGCCAGCCTAGGAAAATGTGAGCACCAAGATAAACGATGATGGCAAAGGAACAGAAGCTGTGGAAGAGGGTCCATGAGTCCACGCTAATTCAAGCAAATAAATAAGAGGGGAAGAAGAAGTTCTTTCTTGCCATAGGAAGCCAACTGATAAATGTGGACAAAAGGATGGAATTACAAAACTAGCATTTGTCACCATCATGGTAATGACTGATTTAGGTAAGAACCACCAGAAGATGCTAAACTCTTGGGTGAAAGTTTGGAGAGTAACATGATATTTACACAGTCTCGAAGAGTCTCTTGCGAAGTATTTCTTAATTACAAAGGAAAAAACAATCATGTTACAGCAGCGAAACTTGGCAGATGCCTCCTTAACGAAGGGAACCAAACTGACCCGACTAGGAAGGGGACAGCTGCACACGCTGTGCCTCTTGATGTGGGACACTGGGAAGGACACAGCATCACCCCTGCAGGATTTCTGTTTCTAGTTATACAGAAACATCAGACAAACCCAACCTGAGGGTTACTCTACAGAATTACTGGTCTGTGCTTGTCAACAACAATAATGTCATGAAACACAAAGAAAGATGAAGGACCTATGCCAGATTAAAAAAAGTCAAGAGAGATGCCTGGGTAGCTCAGTCGGTTAAGCGTCTGCCTTTGGCTCAGGTCATGATCCCAGAGTCCTGGGATCGAGCCCCACATCGGGCTCTCTGCTCAGCAGGGAGACTGCTTCTCCCTCTCCTGCTGTTCTCCCTGCTTATGCTCATACTCTCGCTCTCTCTCAAATAAATAAAATCTTTAAAAAAAAATAAGGTAAAGAGATTTGACAACTAAATCCAATAATGTTATCTGGGATTTTCTTTTAAAGACATTTTAAATTTAACTTAATTTTTAGTTATTTATTTTTTAAAAATTTATTTATTTATTTGACAGAGAGTGGGAGGGAGGGATCACAAGCAGGGGGAGGGGCAGAGGGAGAAGCAGACTCCCCACTGAGCAGGGATACCCCGCAACCCCCGAAGTGGGAGTCAATCCCAGGTCCCTGAGATTATGACCTGAGCTGAAGGCAGACACTTAACAGACTGAGCCACCCAGGCCTCCCTCTTTTTTCTTTTTTTTAAAATATTATTTATTTATTTATTTGACAGAGAGAGAGAGATCACAAGTAGGGAGAGAGGCAGGCAGAGAGAGGGGGGAAGCAGGCTCCCCACTTAGCAGAGAGCCTGATCTGGGGCTCGATCCCAGGACCCTGAGATCACGACCTGAGCCAAAGGCAGAGGTTTAACCCACTGAGTCACCCAGGTGCCCCAGGCCTCCCTCTTTTAAGGACATTTTTGCGACAACTCAAAAAATCTGAATATGCTCTGTAGATTATACAATAGCTTTGATTTAATGCTGATTTTCCGATTTTCATAACCATGCTGTTCTGTAAGAGAATGTTCTTGTTCTTAAGAAACGAACACCATAGTATTAAGGAGTAAAGGGATATCATCTCTGCAACTGATTTTTACGTGGACATGAGGTCAGTGTGTATAAATACATATATCTTTACCATACTTAGAAAAATGATAAAGCAGATGTGGAAACGAGATAAAATGTTAATATTTGGGAAATCTGGGTGAAGAGAGTGAGAGAATTCTTTGTGCTATTGTTCCAACATTTTTGTAAGTCTTAAATGATGTCAAAGTAAAAAGTTCGCAGGGTGAAGGCGCTGCCACGGAGTAGGAAACCACGGAAGTGGCAAGCTCTACGGAGCGCGGGGAGCAGGCAGATTCTTTCCAGGCTCCGTGTGCTGCTCTGTTAAGAGGACGAGCACCAAGGCCATCTGCCCATTTAATCCTTCCTCTCAGACAGAAGTTACGGGGAGGCAGAGTTTGCCCGATGCTGCATTTTATTATATAGAGTTCAGGTCTCAGGAAACGATTCCTGTGCCCTCTGACCCTAGTGTTCCAGTTCAGTGTCTGGGAACCCAGCTCTGGGGGTGCTTGGAGGTTCACCCAGTTACCGTCCATACTGTCTAGAAGTCTAGTCCCTACGTAGGCAAAGGCAAAAATAGATTCACACGCACCACAGAAGGACCTACAGTTTGCTCCCGACCCATTCCTAAAACAGAAGACAATAACGAGCTGTAGCAAAATCAGTCCGCTAAAAACGTCTTCCTCCACATACAGAACATCAGCTCAGAAAGTGGAATCCTGTAATTTCTTGGGAGGAAAGACAGCACAGCTCCAAGAGTGTCAGTCAATCTAAGTGGGAAACACTCAGCTTAGAGTGGCTGGAAGAGAAAAAATGGCCCTGCCAGCATTGCTTCAAAGGGCTCTGAGCACGTGAACCAGGCAGGCAGGGATGGATGTCCAGGAAGGGCACTGCCAGATTCTGCTTTGCAGAGGAGGGGAGGGGTCCTCACAACAGGGGCTGAGAGGGCGGTGTAAGTGTGGGAGCCTTGTGTTGATGAAAATAAATAAGTGGCAGGAAAAGTATTATCTGTGCCCGTTTTTTGCCCTGGTGAGAAACCAAGTTCCATTTGCATGACTTCCCTAAACTTCCTTTTCTGTCAGTAGTCCCCGGGGGCAACTGAGGTTCGTGGAAACCCCTGCCATAGCGCTCCCTCTCTGCTCTTCTTTAAGGAATCCAAAAAGACATTTAGAAGACCCATCAAAGTTCAGCTTGAATCCACCAGACAAGACAGGATACATGCTCCTACTCTACAAAGGGATTTTAATCAGTCAATAGACCCAAAACAATAAAGGCAAACTTGCTTTAAAAAGTTGCCCAACAATTCTAGAATTTTAACGAGATGCTTCTTTTCTTCTCACTACTTAAGAGGCTCAAAACACCCAAACCATGAGGGCACAAAGTATCCTTTAACAAGATTAGCTTTAACTAGAAAACTAAGCAGAGCAACCGAGCTGTGGGCAAACAGGGACAATTCTTTGCAACGTATGTGTCCCTAGATTCCCCTAATGGCCCCTTGCCCCGCTACACTTACCACAGGTCTGGGCGGAGTCCTGGTGGCACTGACAACATGCTCTGGGAGCAGATTTGTTGAGCCGAGGTCTGTCAAAACATGACAGTTCAGAACCGTTGTACTGAATGTCTTGCGCTCTCAGTGACCCTACGGGGGGCGAGAATTCTGTCAGCGAAGATCACTGCCTCTGTTAAGGAGCCCATGACCACCACAAGGCAGATAGGTACCCTTCTAGCTCTTAATATTTCTGAAGAAAAAGATGACTCTCATACACATTTAAAAATACGTCTTCTTAAGCAGAGGCCCAACTAGGAATGAATCTGTTAAAAGCTCAAATTACAGGATACTTCTGTTGCCAGAACTTGGAAGGCTTTTCCTTTTTGCCTAGTGGCACTGGACCCTGAGGCCTTTTCAGGGTCCTTGTAAAGCGGTGCCTCTGGGGGACCAGGTGACTGGGAGCTGCGTCTCCGTGTGCACTTTGTCCCTTTGGATAGCTCCTGACTATTGTCTTGGTCAAGGCCTCGTGGAACCTCCAGTGACAATGATGGTAAACACTCTTCACCCACATGCTAAGGAACGGAAAGAGCTCCACACTCACAGCTGGGCTTTTTCTCCATAAACTGCCTCTTACAGTAGATGACACAGAGGATGAGCAGGGCCAGAAGGACCGTGGCCAGGGCACTGCAGATGACGGCCGCCAGGGCTGTGTCCCGCGGGCTGGAGGCCGTGGACGGGATCTTCACGAGGTTGACCTTGCTGGTACCTGGAAACCGCAAGAATGGGGTCAGCAGGCTCTCAACCACCCAAGAGACTCAGATGCTTACCCCCAACTTGGTGGCCACCTTTATTATTTGAGTAAGACTCCAGAAGACAAGAAAAGGTATTTTAAGAAGGCTCAGTGCTCCCTCCTCTTAGATTTCTTTAATACCACACCTTCACTTGCACCCCAAAATGTGTGGATTAGCCACGCTTCCTTTCCCACAACAAAGACTGTGTGTGGACACACAACCTTCACCACACTGTGTTGCCAGAATGTGCTTTTAAGGCCCATTAGACCAGAGCTGCTGGCGAGCTGGAATCCCTCAACTTTCTCTGTCTCCCAGTGCTTGACATGCCTTTGGCACATCAAAGGTATGTAATATTTGCTATTTAATTGGAATGAGATCACCTACATTTTCAAACACATTGAATTAAGGGTTGCGTTGCGGGGGGGAAGCTTTAGGGAAAAATAAGGAGTGGGATCATTCACAGCCTAATAGTAACCCCCAATTTCTGAGACAGTGAACATTTTTTTAATGTCTGGCTGTTGAATGACTGAACAACATCTATGAATCATGAAAATATGATAGCAGGAGTGATCACCTGGGAATATCGAGTCTTGGTATTTCTAGGCTCAATGATTCTGGGGCCACACTTAAATCGAAATCTGAAGCAGCCTCTATCAATGGGCAAACTGACAAGAAGATCTACAAACACAGGCACAGCTGTACAAACACTGACAAATCAATAACCGAAGAGGAATTTGTATCCTGCGCAAGGGAAATAGTGGACTACACCCCAGGGTCATGGATTTGGGAGAGGAGACTCTTATCTCTTTGGATCAAATGGTGCAGCTGTGGAAACCTGCCACCTTGCTTATGTTGGTGACAAAGGTGACGGACTTCAGAGCAAGGTAAGCTGAAACTCTTCGTCAAATGACCCAGCTCCACACAACACAGAGCTTCAGCAAGAGCTCTCGTCAGAACGAGACGCAGTACATGATGTGAGCCGAAGATCGCAAAGTTCCTAACCCTGGTTTAGCTCTCGAGTTGAGCTCATCAATTCACATAGCATTGGATATTCAGGAAAACCCTACTGAGAATCAGGATTTCGGGTTAAAGTGGAATCACGAAGAGAATCCTTTACATTCTTGTTGAAGTTCTTTGTAAGTATGTTAGCTTATTTGCCTTCATGTGAAAGGAAATGTTCCTGCTTTATAAAGCTGCTAAAATGCCCCTGATGAGGATTTTGAATCTGGTGTTTGTGATTCAGGATTTATCTTCCCTAAGCTAATCGTAAAAGTCTTAGGAATAAATGTCTTTCCACGGCAGGGTGCTAATACTGTAATCTCAAGGATATCGAGTTGCCATAATAACATTGATTTTTTTTTTAAAGTGCACTCAGTAAGCGCCTTCTGTATACATTTCCCTGGAAGTAGCATCTCAGGATGAACAAGAAAAATACAGTAGTTTTACCTCTCAACGTTTGACACCTGCATAAAAAAAAGGTGTCTTGTGAACCCATCCACCCTCTCAGGGAGGTCCCCATGGGAAGCAGGGCTCTAGAAACCCCATTCTCGATTTTTGTTTATATGTACAAGTAAATGCAACCATTACAGCAAACAATTTATTTTCTAGGAAATGGTCTCATCCTCTGTAGGTTCAATCATCACATACGACAATGTAGACATTTATGTGGACATTATGGGAGATTGGGCTGCCTATCATTTGGTTTAAGAACAACTCCAGAAACTTATTCACAAGAGTTTCTGCTAAAAACCTGTTTTCTCATAATTTTTTCTGATTTGGGTAGTAAAAAAGGGGGGATGGGGCAGAGGAGGTTGGTGCCAATTTATGAAGTAGCTTCTAGTCTATTAAGTTCTGGTTAATTGAGGTGTTGCCGAGAATTTCTCAGAAAAAGATGTATCTACCACAAACTGAAAAGTATTGTTTTGCTGACCTGTGCTCACTGCAATGATGCTGAGATTAAAGATTCTTTCCACCCACATGCCTCGACTGAATTCCCTGTCCATAGTTGACCAAGCGTATTGAATGCCCGCAAGGAATTTTACTCATACTTTATTAGGATTCTGATAGGAGTTCTGAAGAACTGGGAACAGGAATGTCCACAGTCTTTGGAAAGTTTTAACTTTTCTGGAATACAAAGGCATCTCTTACCCTAATGAAATTATTAAATTCCACTATAATCTTAGCACTACCCTCTGGCAAAGTTACTTCAGAGAGAGAATTGTTTTCTTAGCTTAAATTTTGTATTACATTAAATAAGTGCAATTTTATATTATACATTTCCTTAGGAGGTCAGCTCAGCAGAACAATTATATCCTGAGTATCTACTCTGGATAAGGCATCCTAAGAGGCATTAAGTAAGTTGAATGAGAATCTGAACAGAATAGGAAGAGAAAAGAGAGGTCGCCAACAAAGTCTGGCAAGTGTTTTTATTCACGTTCACTTTTACCCTCTTTGGAGTGACCAGTGCAAAATATCCCAATTGCAGAGATACTCTCCTTATATCTCAACCCCTAAGCAGCTTCAGAATGTAGCTGGAGAGACGCGTGTAGTAGAGAGATCTGTATTACTGGACTCTGATAAATCATGGAAAAGTCCTCAGAAGATGCAAATTAGGAACTCAGTGTGCAGGCCACAGACTTGACTGAAATGGGCTTCAGCTGACTTCTGGGTGCTTTTAGAGCCCTGGACACTGCTGATATACCTCTAGGGATTTCACTCTCTTTGCAACCCGGCAGAGCTGTGAAAATGCACTGATGGGCCTCCTTGTATAGATGAGGAAACCAAGACTTGGGGTAGTTTGCTCAAGGCTACACAGCAAAGCAAGACAGCTGGAGATCTGAAACCAGGCTTTGGGACCCTTTCCGGTGGACCACACTGGTTCGTGGGTGCATGTAGCTTATAAGTGAGTAAACCTTTCTACAGGGAAAGAGGAGCCAAATGTGGTTCGTGTCTGCATGCAGGCCATGCTCATTTCTGCAGGGGGAAACTAGCCTGGACACAGAGAGATCTGGGGACTTTCTCAACAGCAGGCTGGCTCAGTGTGCATGAAGCCAGTTCCGCACGAGGGCCCCTGGCCTGAGAGAACATTTCAGGCCACTCGGCCTCAGCGTGGCTCTCAGAGTTGCACGTTGATGGCAGGCACATGGAGCAATGCCCGAGTGTCAGTGAGGTGGGGAGGAGAGGCATGTTTATAGAGGCCACTGAGTCTGGGATGGGTCAGAAGCATCAGGCTCCCGCGTGCGCTCTATGAGGTTTCATTGGTAATTCCATAGCTCTGCTTTCTACTGATCTCCCGGCATGTTTAACCTGCCAACTTCCTAGCAGTCTGTTCAAAAAACCTGCTAAACAGAAGATTCTTCTTCCCAGAGTATTGTCCTGACCAAGGGCCCCCCCTTGGATTGGGAGGGAGGAAACTAGGTCTCCCAATTATAGCTCTCAACGATTTCTGCCCTGGCCACGGACAAGACTTTCCCCCTCTCTGAAGCTTGGTTTCCTCAATGACAAGATTAAATAGTGGGCCATCATGCAGACACCAAATCCGCCATCAGTGAGGATGGAGACTCAGTGAAAGTGTCCCTGCGGCTGGATGAGCTCCTATGGAGCTAGCTTCCAGGCACATAGGACACGTTGGCTATTAAGAAAGTCTCGTGAACTATCTGTGGCCTGGCTGATTTCTTCTTACCAAAATGACCATGACCTTCACATTAAAGAATAAGATTAAGTAGGATGCTGTATTTCATGACTCTGAAATTTTTGTTTCCAGTCTGTTTCCCTGAACTCGAGATTCGTCTACCCAACAGCTTATTGAACCTCTCCACTTGGCGGGGGGAGGCATCTTAAACTCAGAAACGAGTCCAAAAGATGACCTCGACAACCCCGACCTCCTCACTTCCTTCTGCAATCCCTCCCTCCCTCCCCCCAGACCTCTCCTGCCCAGCACAGCCTGTCGGCGGGGCTCATCCCGGGCTGCACACATCGTTCCTTCAGCGGCCCTTCTGCAAACATCGCCTACTTAGCAAGGCTTCTCCACCAGTCTTTTAAACCTGCAGTCTCTGACCTGTGCTTCTTACCCCCTTCCCTGCTGCCTTTTCCTTCCGAGTACTTACTGCCATCCGGCACTTTATGTCTTTAACTTCTTTGGTTCGTTTTCATTCTCCCCTCCAATGGAGGTTAAAAAAAAAACAAAACTTGTCCTGCATTCCCCAACACACCTGATGGGCTTGTGTTTAAGCTGGGCCCAGCCAGAGGCCATATTTTCCTGCTTCCTTTGCAGCTAGGCATGATGTTATGTCGAAGTTAGAGTCAATAGGGAATAGGAGGGGTGAACGGAAGTGATGGGTATAGTTTCTGTCCTCTCCGATCTGGGGACAGATTGCTTGCTCCAGCCATCCCTTTCACTGTGGGCTCTAAGCAGAAAATGGCTGGATGATGCTCAGATCTCATAGATGAAGATATCCAAAGGCTCGTAAAGTGCTGGGCACAAGCCCCTGGCCTCTGCATGACATCCTGCAGTGGACCTGCTCCCCCATGCAGGCCTGCAGAATGCAGACGGGAACATCTCTCTTAGTTATGTGGCCATCTTTTGGGGTCTCCTTGTAACAGTAACTTATCAATTCACCTAAGCAGTTTCACCTCCCACCAAAATCCAGCTTCCATAAGGGCAGGGATTTTTGTCAGTTTCGTCCGCTACCAGTGTTATAACACCTACAAGTGTTCTTGGCACATACTTGGTGCCCATATGTATATGATCAATGATGGGATGAATGGATGTTTGCAAAAGAGACTGGAAAACTTGAAGTACCCAGAGGTTTACTTAACAGGGACCTCTCTAATTAATAGGGTGAGATTTTGCCAATAATGTGTTTTCCGCATCTGCTTCCACCCTTGGCTACACAGTTGATGGCAGTGCAGATGGCAACAGCTGGTAGCAAATAACAGTTCCCGTGGCATGTTTTTTATGTGATGTTAAGGTGAC